TTTTCCTTTTTTTTTTTTTTTTTCCCTCCTACCCGTTAAGCAGTATTGGCCGCGGGGGGAGGTCGATGGTCCGCTCCGCGCCGGACTTGGGGGTGAAGTTTTGCTGCGGGCCGGCGGATGGAGGTGATCGTCCTTTTTTTCCTTTTATTTTTTGTTTTTGGCGTGTTGTTTCCTGCGTTTCGTTTTTGTTTTTGTCAGTGGGGTGGCGGGCGGTTTACTGCCTTTTTCTTTTCTTTTTGTTTTTGGCGTGTTGTTTCTTGCTTTTCGTTTTTCTTTATCTTTTTGTCTCCTGGCCAGCGTCGGCGCAGACAAAAGGAAGCGGGGTGGCGGGTGCGTTGCAGGCAGTGACCCACCTCCAGCCTCAGACCCCCACCCACGGCCCCCACACAGCAGGTGCGTTCCGCCAACCCCTCACACCTGCACCCCACCCCACACGCACGCACACACACACACATATTAATATTTTGAAGTTTGCTATCAATAGTCGTTGTTGGGGTTTGAACCCACACATAGATTTGAAATACGCAACTGCCCTAACCACACAGGTGGATTGGGTCCCTGTGTGGTTTTGGGGACTGCTTCTTTTTGAAGTGTATCCGACGTCAGGCAGCTGTGACAAGTCAGAATGTGCCTGTGTCCAAACCCTAACGTTGCACACTGTGGCAGATGGGTCCAGTCCTGCAATTTTCAAGCACCGAATTTGGCGATTTTTCGCGCTCAGACGAATTGAGGAAAAACTCTGAAAATTTGAGATCCCGTAGATTAGGTTGTGATCTTTCTAGGAAAAGTATCAAAAAAAAAATAAAAAAAAAATAAATCGTGAAATAAATGCCGCGCCGTTTAGTTGCACTGTCCATTTTTGTCATTCTTGCACGTGTTGGCCAACGGGAAAAGTACCCCAACTTCCGTGATTTTTTGCGCTCAGAAGGATAACTCCACAACTCTGAAAATTGACAGGCCTGTAGAGTGGGTCGTGATCTTTCTACGAAAAATATGTAAAAAAATTAAAAAAATATTTAAGATCGTGAAATAAACGTCTCGCCAATTCGTCCCATATTCATTTTTTGGGGTCTTTTGCTGCTGTATCATGTGACGGCCAACGGGAAAAGTACCCCAACTTCTGGGATTTTTCGCGCTCGGAAGGATGACTCCACAACTCTGAAAATTGATAGGTCTGTAGATTGGGTTGTGATCTTTCTATGAAAAATATTAAAAAAAATTAAAAATATATTTAAGATCGTGAAATAAATGCCGCGCCAATTCGTCCTATGTTCTTTTGTTGGTTTTCGTTCCCCTTCGAAGTTTGTCGTTTCCCGCTGCCGCGGCCTTTTGTTTTGTTCTGTTTTTTTTTTTTTTT